ATAACTCATCTAGTTTCGGTCGCTCGATTTGAATCCTAGAAATTTCTTAGTTTTTGAGATTCACACAAACAATTTCGTGCTGAAAATTTGAATTTCAAGATAAAGTAACCTGAACGACTCGAAATATGTTTTTTATAGGCTTTCGACAATGCTCTTTCCAGTAACATCGTTTCTAAATATTGAGAAAGTTTTCTGAAGGGTTTTCTAGACGCTGGATCTCGGGAAAATTTCTTAGAAAACTTTTTCAAAACCCAACTCTCGTGCCATTAGAAAGAGGATCATGAAAAACCTATAAAAAAATGGTTCATGAAATTTTAGTTCACTCATAAAGCTAAAGTCCGCCTGCTCTGGCAAAAAATGCCCACTGTGATAGACTTGCTTTTGAAACGAACAGCATAGATATCGCTTGTAACTGTGACACGGTGTCTCAGCTGTTCTCTTTCTTTGTTTGTTCAAACCTAAGCTGTTGTTTGTGTTGCGTACAGCTTTATTCCCTCTTCACACCTGCTATTAGCTAGTTTTTTTTATAAAAAAAAGAAAAGCTTACCATCACTCTAAACTATATTTACTGTATGACGTCGTAATTCAGCTCCTTCAAGTTGCATTATTTGTTTAAATGAATCCTCCAACACACTGTTTAAACTAAGTTTTAGTATTAGCGTACCCTTGGTAATGTTACCGTCAAGGAGACGTCGAAACTGATCAGCATTCTAAATAAGTTTCTTATAAGCAGTAGAACACACTTTAATTAGTGAACTTTGCTATGCTTACAAACCTCAGGTGCTGACGTGGTCCATTGAAGAATTTGATTCTCGTAAAATTCGACGAAGAAATGGCCATCGAACTCATATCTATATCCATATCCATCGTACTCATTCGAATCAATGTTTGTCGACTCCCTAGACCGTAAGTTTTGCACGAGTATTCTCCACGTGTGCAAATCCCAATTATATATATCTTCCCAAGTTGGAAAACGTGAATCCAAGAGGAAAGCGCTATAGGGACGGGAGGTCAATGGATTGACTGATCGTTGTTGGCCTGTTATTTGCAATAATTCATGAAATATTCTTAGCCGTTGTGCTAAATACCACAGTGTTGGTGGCTCCCACGTTACTGTTAAGTTATTGTGGTCAAGAAAAAGTAAACGGAATGAGTAGAGAATTATAGTAGATTCACGCATCTCCCAGCCAAAGTTTAAATCAGCTGTATTTTCACTACCTAGAAAACATTTATTGTTGCTAGAAGATATTAAGTTTTGAGTGGGAAAGCATAACCTACTTGTGCGTGTTGAAATATCCGTTGCTGTTTGTGAGTGATTAATGGCCAAGTCATAACTTATTTCTGTTATTGTCTTTTGAGCCATATAGTCTTCTAAGTTTAATATTGCTACAATATTAGCTTCCCGTTCGTATTCTTCCTTTGTAAGACGATCTGACTCAAATAATTTTCTACGTCTAGCCGGTAGAGTTGTGATCATTTCATTTAATACTGCATTGAAGTTTTTTGTAGTATCTTGTGTGACAGTCCGATGATTATTTGGCCATTGAGTCACTAGGTTCATATATATTTTTGTAAATACATCTATCATATCACCTACTAATATTGGTGGTTCAGATTGACGTTCGCCTAATATTGCAGCAAAATCTTCATCCAAAATTGTTTCATTTATCCTTCTAGCCATTGCAGAATAGTACAACAGTAGTACAATATATAATGGCGACTTGCTAGTTACAATAAAGCCTTCGTCAACATCATGATCCGGATATAAAACTGACATCCTGTCATCACTATTACGATTCGTATCCAGAAATAAAGTTTTCCATCTCTTCCAATTATTCAAGTACCAGTTATCGGTTGGAGAGAGTATAAGTATAGTTAAAACTCCAAACCATTGATTTTCAACATCATTAGATAAAGAAATATCTCTCATGTATCCAAGCTCATGCATAAGTTTCGCACAGTCATCTAAAAATTCTAAACTGCCAAATGAGAACAAGACAGTATACAAGTGTTGTTGTTTTTTTTCATCGAGTTTGTCGATTTGACTTATATAATGGTCTACTTCCTCTGGATCATTTTGAAAGATTAGTCGCTGCGTTCGAGTATCACTGAAATCAACATTTTTTCCCAAAATGTCAGCTAGCCGTTCAAGGTAATCCATTGAAAAACCGTCAAGTATGTTCAAGTCTTTGATAAAATAGTGTTTACAGCGTCCCGATCGTAAAATGGAAGAAGAATATTCGATCCATTGTTCAGCTATAAGTTTGGCTAATGACTCATCTTCGTAGTCTATTTGTGCAGTTCCTCCATGTAAGAATTCTGCTTTAACTGAATAAATCTGATCGAGATCGATTGTTTCACACATCCAGAGAATTGTTGTTTTAACAAAATAAGATGTGAGATACTTGTCATTTGCTGAGGGTAGAGCAGCACCAGGTGCACTTTTATGCAAATATTTGTAGAAAAGTCCACGAGCAACACGATTCAAGATCTGCTCTGTCGGAGTTCTTAATTCAGCTAGTGTCTTCTCCAAAACTGAGAAAGAATAGCGAAATTCAACATTTCTCATACCTTCTGAAGTTTTTCCAGACCATTTTCCAATTAAATGCATATGGACTGATTTTACTTGCTCATAGAGTAATGATCGCTTTCTTTTCAAGCGATCGAGAAACCAATGAAGAGCGTCTGGCCAGAATTCAAGTCTCAGATATGGCACATAATCTGTATCTCCACCTAAAGGATTATGCTGGTCGTGTGCACTCGAATATACATCTCTCATCGCATCCAATCCAGGTAAATAACTTCGATATCTGAAGTAAAACTCTAACACGGCTTCGATCTTTTTTCTTAGATCATTCGGTAAACGATAGTCAAATAGAGGACTAATAGTTGAGAAAACATCTTTAGTTAGTTGTTTTTGAGCGGAAACATCATATACTCCATGACCAACGACATTTTGCAAGAATGCAACAACATGTTGTCTTCCAACATTGACCTCAGTCTCTGCAAATTCTTTAAATCTCTTCATTACTTCATCATCGCTTATGTGTGACTGTGGAAGAGGATTTATATAGCCTAAGAACAGATTAAAATAATCTAGTATTTCAGCATAATTAAGTTGTGCAGTAGCTTCTACACTAGCCAGTAATGGTCCGGTTACATAAGTACGCGAATCGGAAATGGTATTTCCAAAAGTACAACTTGATTTGATATTATTCAATATAATCTCTTTAATTTTCGTAGCATTGATAAATTCGTTTTCAGTTGGTAGTGGATGTAAAGATTTAATGAGTCTAGCTGGATAATCAATTGAATATTTAAGTTGAACTGTTTCTTCACAAGACAGAACACGAACAAAATCTGGTACATTAGGAATTGCCTCTAAGGAGTCCATCGATGATATCGAACCAATTTCAATCATTATATCAACGTCTTGACATCTCTTATCATGTCGAAAATGATTTGCTTCTGATTGTCCTTCTTTTGAATTGCCAGAGACGAACATTTTGTACGGTTCTCCCATAGTTTCTTTTCCTGATGCTGCTTTCCTTCTTCTCTTTCACAGTCACAGAGGTAAAAAGACTATAAAATTTTATCTTCTTTTTGAATGAGTATAATAGAAACGAAAGAATTTATCGTTTCTCCACAACTTTTGTTCTGTTTCTTTTCTTGACGTTGAGTGGTATAATGCAATAAAGAAATGATATCTCGATGGTGAAGTTTTTAGCTCTTCCCGATTATATTTACGGCAATAAAATCTATTCAGTTCTTTGCAGCGTACTTCCCCGCAGATTATAAATATATAAATATTGACCCACAGTGAAAAGCATTGAGGAGATTTGGGGATAAAACAATAAAAGTGAAACTCTTCATCCCTGCATTTTCACATATACTCTCCCAATAACCGAAACACAGTGAGCATTTTTCTATAGAGCAGGCGGACATATGCTGTAGGAGTGGTATGAAAGCCTATAAACACGTTCTTCTATAGATTTTCGAATATACTCTTTCTAATGATGAGATTTTCAGTACTCAAAAGTAATTCCTTGTGGGTTTTCTGAAGACCGGATCTCTGGAAAACCCATAAAAAATATGTTTATAGACTTGTGTACTATTGCTAAAATAAATATCCAAATTCCTAAGCAAAATTTGCTGCGGATAAGCTTTCAAGTCTATAATTCAATTTGATCGAAAATATTTCTGCAGAAAAATTAAAAAGCTATATATCATTCGATGCAGTTTTTCACGGTGATCCCGAATATGGTATTATATTTGACGAAATGTGTGCTTACAAGAGTGAAAAATTCGAAATACCTCAAAACCCCTATGGGTTTTGGAAAATCCATAAAACGTTTTTGGAACATATGCGAGATTTTGCGATTTCACCATAAATAAACTAGTTGTAGAAGAACATTTTGATGTATTTAGAAGATCTATAGGGGTTTAGCGCTATTTAGCGATATCACTACACAGAAGTAGTGTCATACCGGTATGAGATGATGAAGAATCATTAACTGTTACTTATTGCAATTACTTTCGAAGTATAAACATTTTGCTATCAGTAGATAGCTGAAGACATGCCGATTCTGAATATGTGCTTTGAAGTCGCGTAACATAGCTGAGTGAGTATAGAATCGTGATTTCGAGTGTGGTAACGATATTCACTATGGGTTTTATGTACACTGCCTTCTGCTCGAAGGATCCATTTTCAAAATAGACATTTATACACCATTCGATAGAGAATTTGAACAGCTACATTTTACACTATTTATATTTGAGAAAAGAGTTACTTCGATTTTTTGCCTAATGCCCGCCTGGATGCCCACTGTGCGAAAGGACTTTGGTTCTATCATCGAAATGAATGAATGAAAAATGTTAGTTATCTGCCGCAGTGGCGTATCCAGGAATTTTTTAGTAGTGGGCAATTTTCCAGCCAAATTATTTTGAGAGGTGGGCAGCAATGGGCAATTGAAAAATCTACTGGGCAATAATTTTTTAAAAACTTATTGACATTATAAAAGCCAATGGTTACGGAAGAGAAATTCGTCAACTTCAACTAACAGAACAGCTTGCTCGCTCTCTTTGTGCTATTTCATAAATTTACTTTTCAACTTTCAAATACTAGGTTATTTTATTCTATCGTTGCTCATTCGGCCGCAGCATCAATGATTTTTTTCATTTATCAGACGGCCGTCACGATTATCATCATTGCTAAGAAGTGCTGACGACGATGAGTGTAATGTTAGTCTATCTTTTTAATCGAATCAGACAAACGTCATATTGTCTTTTTTCGTCGAGCAATGACACACATCACTTGTTTTCTTTCATCAAAGAATAATGCACATGAGCGTTAGTTTGTTCTCTTTTGTCGTACAATGACAAGTGCTACTCTAGATTTATCACTAGATAATCTCCTCAAACCTGAGTTTTTTTCTATATGATTCTGTTGTTCAATTGTCTATCCTCTAAATTTCATATTATCATTTCATTGTCACTAATCGCAATTCCTTGCTTGTATTTTTAAAGCACTTTCATTTACATTTTCTATTTAGTTTGTTCCAGTTGCGCTTATGGATAGTCGTCTAACAAACACCGACCGAAGGAAGGTGTGAGCGTTGTCTTTGATTCAAAGCCATCGAAGGTGGTTCGTAGATGTAAGTTCCTAAGGTCACCTTGCAGATATAAGCAGGGATTGACAACAGTATGAAAAACTGTTACGTCGCAAAAAAGCGTTACTTATGACCGATAGTGCAATGAAAACGAGACCATGAGCTGACCACCCTGAACCTTCGATAAAGAACGAGGGGACTAGCTGGCGTTAGTTGGCTCAACTTGATAGGATAAAAATGGTATTCCCTTGACTATAAATGAAAGGGTCTTATCGAGCTCAAGTGTATGGAAATTGGTAAATTTCATTGGGATATCTATGTATGATTCAGAGCAGAGTAGAACTTCCGATTGGTAATTACGTGAGCAAGGGGAGCAACATGCCAGTGAGTTGTGTAGACAAAAGTAACAACAGATTCAGAATCAGCACGAGAAACTGCATAGAATGGTGGGCATATGGAGTATTTCTGAACAAAAGATGTTTCGATCCAGTGTAATACGACGGTTTTAGGGTATGAACACAGCAGTTTTGACTTGGCATGTAGGCATGTACTAGAAAAGTGGTACGAAAGCCTCTAAACGCTCTTTTTATAGGTTTTCGTATGTGCTCTTTTCAATGGCATGTTTCTCAAACTTCCAAAGTATGTTCTTACAGGTTTTCCAGTGACCGGATCTCCAGAAAACCTGTAAACACATACTTTGAAAGTTTGAAAATCATGCCATTGAAAAGAACACATTCGAAAACCTATAAAAGGAGTATTTAGAGAGGGCGTTTTAGTTTATTACAATTCTATTATAAAAAACGAAAAAGTGGTTCATATATGGACCACTGCCCGTCAGAGGGTTTAGTCAGTACTTAGTTTCAACAAGAGCTGCCAAATATATTCTTGTGTCATTGGCATCATACCTTCTTACTATTTTTTTAATATAAACATTATCTTTATGGATTTTTAATCGCATCTAGTATATACCGAAAGGACCCGTTTCAACTTTACTCTTATTTACTGATTTGATTGGTTTTATATAACTTTATTTTAGATTAAACCAAAATTATAATGCATTACGTGATACCACACGAATAATCAAAATACAGTGACTTTTATTTTGAAATTAAAATTGATTTACTGGTTATTCTATTCAAAGTAACGAACAGAGACTAAAATATAGGGGTAAGTGTGAAACTTTCTTGTCTTACTCGTTATTTTTTCCTATATCCTGATCTGGATATACCTGACATCCCGATCAGGATATAGAGGGTGTTCCCTTACTGTCTGTCTCCATCGATAAAGGTTGTTGAAAATCCAAAACCCTATTTCTTGGAATGTCCACAGTACGATCGAGCTCGAGCAATTCTTTCCACTAAGCTGAGTAATTTAGATGTTAATCTTGCCACTGGTACCCTTCTACTTAGAATTCATTTACCCAAGAATCTCTTGATTTTTGTGTAACAGTTTGTGGGTGATTTGATTATTGCCAGTAAACGTTTCTAATAGACTACGTCCTCTACTTTTAGAGTTTTAACTGATCTGCTCCCACATTCTAAAAGGCCAATATCAGATGCTCCTATTGACACAGTTTCTTTAAGGGTAAAATTCAGTTTTTCACTCTTTCAGAGATCATCCTCGTGTGAGATGTGACATATACATATATAGTTGCAGCCTTCTTTCTGATGTGATTATGACGAATAGAGTATTCAAGGAAAAAAATTTCGCGTAAGAGAACATAAAATGCTGCTGAAAATGTATTAAACAAATACAATGATCGTGACATTTTGCTGATAGTAACTGTCAATAGGGATGAAGTACTACAAGGAGAGAATATGTTTACGATATACAAAAAGATGAGAGATTTTTGAAGATGCTAAGATCGTCATTCGACGCAGCTTGATGGGTTACTATATCTTCTTTTATATTTTTAAATTTTTTCCTCGGGTATAGATGGAATCTTCTACTTCGAAATAACAAATAATTGACGAGAGCAACGTCATTGACAGATTATACATAGAATTCAGTTTACCCAACACACACATTCATCGACGTTGGGCAGCATGACGTACGCCGATCATAATACAGTATCTTCTAACGCTCGTATACAATGGCTGTGGAAAGCGAATTTCAAGCCATTTTCATCCACAGAAACTGCTGATTGGCACTTCTACTCCGATGTTGAAACTGCAATGATTGAAGATGCATATACACAAAATCTTCCTGTCACACTACACTATCAATATCACATAAATTTCTAAAATTTTATGCAAATATCTAACCATGATGAAAAGAATCAGTGACCTGTTAAACGTGTGGTGGGCGGAATAGCAGGAGAAGCTCGGGTAAGAGAAGAACGTTTCACACTTATCCCCATATTGCCCAGAGGACCTTTTTCATACAATATGAACAGCGATTTTACCGACGATGTTACGAAATACTTTGGTCTTCCTCATGAAAATGCATTTGCTGACGGTGAGATACGTCGAAACATGGTGCAGGTTGCAGCCGAAGCTTTCATAATCGAAGGGAAGAAGATCAGCAAACAGAGAGAAGCAGAATGGATAGCTCAACAACTACTCACTGTCCAGAATGGAAGTGAACAAGAAGTGTAGCACTGTTGTGTGCATCTATACTGTACAAACAGCTTAATGAATGCATGCGACTCTATAATGACCGTCAACATGCAGCTTATTACAGAAGCGGACTACCCACAGTTGGTGTATTCGCTCTACTTCTTTCTGAGCTTGGGTCATTTTCTGAGGACACTGCCAAAAGAATTACTGTATGTCGTCGGGAAAATTTAATCAAATTCTCTATTTCCTAATGGCTAAATTCTCCATTTCGTCGTGGAATTATTAGACTATCCGCCTTCATATCGACGAGCCGCAATCGTACCGTTTGCCGAACTCTATGATAATGTGCTCTATAT